AGTTGAGACTTTAGAGATGGGTGTAAGGAGTCTCTGAGCAAGGTAGACACTTCCAAAATTAAATTTTACTAAGTCCACAATGCTGTGCGAGATAGACCTGCGAGTTGGACATGAAGTGGAACCATGTAGCACATGTGTTCGCAAATTACACCGACTTGGGCATGCGACTTGGACAAGTAAGTGACCATCTCGCACACATATTATCTCCATAATGCGTCCTGGTTGTGCGAGTTGAAGAGAAGGAAGCCTGAGCAGCACAAACATTCCCTGTTTACACCTAGATAGGCATGCGGCTGAGGCTGAGGGATTTATGGCGCACAAGGCTGCTTCTATGGCTGTGCGACTTGGGCCTGCGACTTGGGAAGCACCTGACCATGTCGCACACTTGAGACATGACCCATTTGAAGCCTGGTCAGTACCCAGTTTTTCCTGGGCTGACCCGGTCCGCAAGAGACACTATATATGCTTTTTAGGGTTTTTTTCAAGACTTAAGCTTTGTTTTCTCTTGTTTCTCTTTCCCCTTTGGTTAAAAAAAAACGAGTTTTTTAATAGATATCTCAAGGATTTAATCAATATGAGTCTGTTTCTTATCATCTCATCTTCTTATCTTTGCTTCTAATCATGATTAACATCACTTCTTGCAAAGGAAATGGTGTGTTCATCATGATTAGTGAGTAGTCTTCTTTTAAGCTTCTAAGTGTGTAGATTAGGGTTCTTTGATGTTTGATTTATGATGTTTAGGTTCTAGATTCTCATTTCCTTTCCTTAGTTAGCTGCTCTTAATGCAAGATCTCTCATTATAAGCTTGATCTAGAACTTAGGCATTTCTCCACCCACAAGGTGTTTGATGAAATGCCTGAATGAGTGAACTTAAGGGTTTATGCCTTTTTCATCATGGGAATGATTGTTAAATGCATGACTGACATATTAGAACTGTTTCTTAATGCTCATTGATTCATATTTCACAAATTATTATTTGGTTTGAAAATGGATTAGTGTAGAGATTAATGCCTTCATGAGAGGATTACTCTAGATTAAAGTTCTAAGTTAATTGGAATTTGAGATCATGTGATGCTTGCTTTATCTTTCTGTATAAGATTCAGTCTTTCTTAGCTCTTATTTTGATGCACAAAGAGGCTGTCTGGTCATTTTAGACTTGGAACCTTATGCTTGTTGATTGCTTATTCATCTAATGGAAATTAGTATTGATTTGGTAATTAACAAAGGAATTTTGGTCATGAGAATGAATTAATCTTATTTGGAAGTCTAGACTAAAGAATTGCAAGTGTTGCATTGTTTGCTTAGCATCATGAATTCACATTTAAAGCACCCTAATCAATGATCACATCTAGAGGTTTAGGTTTCTCTTTATTTGAATTTGAGTCTTTGTTTTGTTTGTCTTGTTTGCTTGTTTAATTCTTAATTACTGCTTGTTCTTGTTTGTTTTATGTTTATAGATCACCTTGTTACCAACTCATCTGCTTATTATACTTGAATTAAGATAGCTCCTCATAGTTCTAGTGTCTAGAATCTCTCCATTTGGATTGTTACCTCAAGTGCTACAGTGACATGAGTAGTTGAGGAATTGATCAAGGATTGAAAAAATTCCTACTATCACTTAGGGCTAGATTCATGCATCTTTGTTCTTGTCCTTAATGATGGGTTTCTGAACATCACTTAAACCCAGATCCAAGACATTTCATGCACCAAAAGTGTTTGATGAAATGTCTGAACCAAGCTAGTTCAAGAGTCTATTGTTTGATTTACATGGAAGTGTTTTATTGAGCATAGATTTCATATCATGATTGGTTTCTAATGGATCTCTTCATTTGTTTCTCTAATGATGATTGGGTATGAAAGAATGTTTGAGATTGTGTTTTGATGCTTGAGAAAGATTGAAACTTGTTATCAATCATGAGCTGCTTATATCATTTATCATCGTTGTTCATCAGCTACTTAGTCAAATCTTGAAAGCACCCTAGCCATCTATAATATCTAGAGCTCTATACGTCATCATTTCATATTCATCATCTTGTTTAGTGCTCTTGCTTTGTTTTGTTGCATTTCTAATCTTGTTTAATCTTGTCTTAGTCTTTTGTTTATCTTTGTTACTTGTTTGAACCAAAAACTAATTTGTCTTGCTTGAATTAGGATACAAATCATATAAGCTAGTATCTAGAACCCACAAGATGGATTGATACCCTAAAAGCTACAACAGCTAAGCGATTGGTAATCCAAGGAGCCTTGAAAACTCCTACTTATCAGCTCCGGAGGAGCACCTTAGTCCGGTGAAGGGTGTCTGGTCCGAAAGAACGTCTGATCTCAAAGAACATCTAATTCGAAGAGGTGTATGGTGTGAAATAACGTCTAGTCCGCAAGGGTCTCTGGTCCAACAGGACATCTGGTTCAAAGGGACATCTGGTCTGTAGAGACATCTGTTTCTATTTAACACAATGTAGATCTAGCACAGTAAGAGTGCATCGAGTACGTACATCTGATATAAGGGACATCTTGTAAATCTGGCACAGTAAGACTGCATTTGGAACATCTGAGGCAAAAGAGAAATTTGGTACATCTGACACCATAAAAGTGCATCTTGTACATATGTTTGGACGATTCAAGTCAAGGTGGAGATTTGTTCAAATGACTTGAATCTAAAGCTGTATAAGGTATAAATTGCATCTGATACATCTGTTTGGAAGATTCAAGTCAAGGTTGAGATTTGTTAGTATGCCTTGAATCTGAAGCTGTAAGGTGCAAACTGCAGTATGTGCAGATTGCAGATTGTGCATGTGTAGGAAGGTGCAAACGATAGAAGAAGCAAGCTACATAGCAGACAACGAAAGGTGCAAACTGTAGAAGATCTGAACTACACAGCAGACTACAGAGTGTGCAAGTTACATAGCTATCTGTAAAAGGTGCAAGTTACAGCAGTGGTTCGTAGGAGGTATAAGCTGCATAGGTTATCACAAGATAAGCTGCATAGGTTATCACAAGAGGTGTAAGCTGCACAGCTTATCGCAAGAGATGTAAGCTGCATGGCTGATCCTAGGAGGTGTAAGCTGCATAGCTGTTTTCAAGAGGTGTAAGCTATGAAGCTTATTGCAGATTGTCGGTTTGATTAATGGGCCAAAGCTATCAGCTTAAAGACATTACGTGGGCCTAATCGAATAGGTCCAAATATGATTAGGGTTAACTAGGTAGCTATAAATATCTATGTTGTACCTAATTTTGATGTATTCCCATTCTGATTCAGACCTCCAGCAGGGTTTTCTGAACCTTCTGCCTCCTTTAATAAATCGATTACGTTAAATCTGTGTCCTTGTGTTCTTTACATCTATAGCTTTATCTTTTCGCATCCGTTATAACAGAACCGAAATGGTCAGCGACTTCTTGACTACCCCAGTGGTAGGCTCAGCTTTCCTCATCGTCTTACGAATAACAACGATTTGAGGATAGTAATGTTAAGGCTTCTTAACTCCTCTGGCGGTCGTGTCAATTTTCCTCGTCTTCTTCATGATATATTGCTTCTTGGGAGCCTTTCAACCGGTTGATTTTGTAGCAGTTAGCTTAGTGCAAGCTATTGTCTTCTCAAAGTTGTTACCGCATTGAGCTGTCGTTAATCCTTCTCGAAATCTTTTAAATGCTTCTTTAAGCTAATTGATGAGGTAATAATTTGTTGGAACTGATCTCCCATATCCAGCTTCATCTTGGTTATCTCCTCTTTTAGATCAAATTTCATCTTGCTTCTCTTCTCTTAGATCCAACTTCATATTGGTTATCTCCTCTTTTAGATTCCAAGGTTTGATTCCCTCATATCGATTATCTATTTATTACTAGCCATGAATCGATATGTAGAAAAATTAAAAAGTATATTTATTTTTTCAGGTGACTGAAAAAACAAAAAATCCGATACCACAAATTGTGCATCAAAACCAAAAAGAAAGCTAAGAGGATTTGCTAGGAGAACTAACTAAAATCAATATTTTTGGTAGTTAAGACTACGTCTTAATGGTTTTTCATTGATTTAACTAAAGAGATTATGAGCGCACAAGCACGAAACATAGGGAAGCCATTGACTCCTACAAAACAAGAATGAAGGAAAGTGGAGCTTCCTAAACTTAGTGAAAACTGATTCTCTTACTAATTAGTTAAGCGCGCCAATTAAACTTGGTATGTTGGATTTGATTTCTTCGTACGGTTTGATTGTCACTACTTGACCATTTACCAACTCATCACTTTGAAACGCACTTTGACGAAATTAACAAACAGATCGAGCCAGACCACAGCCAAAGACTTGCAGTTTTATCTGAATGTGGTGAATCAAGGACTGAACAAGATCAGAGCCTTGAGGTTGCTTCCGCTTGCATAACGATTAACCATTGAATCATTTTAATGGTAAGTATCAACCATGGTCAGACCTATTCTTTGCTCTGGTCTCAACAATGATTTGTCCAAGCCTTTAGTGGAAGGTCATCATCAACAACATTGGACAGAACCATTGAGGATTATTTCAAATACCGAGCAATATCAGTGTCCTGATATGTACTCCCTGAATCATCATCAGAGCAAGTTTTCATTATTTCTCTATAATCATGACAATGGTACTTTTACCCAACTGGCCAACTCTGTTTTAAGATTTCAGCAATCAGCCACTCGGTATAATAATCTCTTGTACAGATTGGGATTACTCTGCTTTATTACTTGAGCCACAAAGATTTGGTGGGGATGGTGCTAGACTAAGAAGAAGCTGCAACAACATTGATCTTCCAATGGTGGTTCCAACACAAAACATCTTTGATCAGTTTGCGGCATGGACTTCGACAATCCGTTGATGTTCTCTTCTTACATCTTGCTCTAAGCTCATTTTTGTAATTTTATGTTTGTTATAAAATTGAGACTGTTATTTAAACTCTCCCAAATACAACTATAGTTTCGATCCAATCAAATTTTGATAGATTTTACATCTTATGATGGCTATATTGAGAAAAACCTGATGACCCAGTCAGGATTCATATCCCAACGAATAGGCATAAGCCAATCTTTATTCATTGTTTAAAAGGTTGGGTATAAAATTACAACAACAAAGTCACATGAGAGTTTGTGAATATTGCGTATAAGAAGACAACAAAGATCCAAATTCTTTCAGATTCAAAGAGCTACTTTATCTGTTGGCATCTTCAGAACCATAGCCTCCCCATCTGCGTAACATACATACACAAAAATGCCATCACATTTTCATCAATTTATAGAATATACAACGTAATCATGAATCACACTACAGTACTAGGAACTATGCATATTCAAGATATGAACAAAAGCGGGAAATAAAAACTTATGTTTTATGATTTTTACTTACCCAATGGCGTGTATTCCGGCAAACTAACATACTTGGGACATGATTTTTTCGATGTCACGTCTTTTGAACCAACACAGTCCCTTGGCTGTAGTGATCATAAAAGAAAAAACTGTCAGAAACTAACGCCAGTCTCAGAGCCTAACAAAATGTTTTGCATTTAAACCAAACAAATTCTACATAGAGCTGAAGACATTTCATAATGCTCGGAAACAAGATTTAAGACTTAAAAACGAAATAAACAATCTAAGATGAAAGAGATATCGATTACACCTTAAAATCCTTATAGAAGCATATACGTATTTCATCGATTGCATCTCTTTTGCATACCACTTCAGGAGTGATATGGAATGCATTCTGAATGGCTGTTACGATACCTCCTAGAGGATACTTCTCGCTGTTGGAAGCAACATAGCCAGCTTTATAAAGGACATCCTATTCAAGATTAACAGATGCAGAGATTAAAGCTACTCTTCCAGGAGAGAAATAAGTACAAAAAAATGTGTGCACAAACCAATAAACTGACAAATCAGAAGAAAATCTAACATGTATGATCATTTACATGGCAAAACAAAGCTAAAATGTTTCTGTGAAGATTAAAAATCAGTAGCTAAAACAATGAATGGAGATACAGAGTAGGCACGACTCGATGTGAAGACTTACCGTGACATTATGCTTCAAGTAGATATTAAGCGTTGTAATGAAGTAACTATACTCATCATGAAAAACAGGAGAAGCACAAGTCCCATGTTTCTCTGAAAATAAAAAAGTATCAGCACAATCATTTAAGAGAAATCCCATTTTTTTAATACCATTAGTATACTCAAACCATAACATATTATGCAAAGTAACAGAACCAGTGAATCAACTCAAAATAAAATCGGGAAATCGAAAAATTATCAATTGAAAGAGTAAAGATTGAAAAATGATTACCCCACTGCCATCATGAATGCAAAGAGATACAAGAAAACCAAGGAAATGAAACTCAGTTAGTTTTGGTTGGAGAGTCATACTCCAATCCGGGAAAATTCATAACAGATGCGATAAATAATCACCTCATGGCCCCAGAATGACCCTTTTCCACCATGGCATGATGATGGAGAACCACAACTGAGACTGGGCCAGTACTTCTCAAGGCCATCCATCAACGTTGATATCTACAATTTTTCTCTTTTCAGAATCATGACTAAAAGACTTAATTCGACATTTTAGTTGAATCTTAATCTAGCCAACTTGAGAAAATTTCATAAGAATGTTTACCTCCTTTTCATTAAAGTCGGATCGATAACAACATGAAGGCCAAGAACCGTCGTTATAGTCAGGCCATAGTCCATCTACGAGATTCGTATTAGAGATCATTAGGGTGCAAATTTTAGAAGTTAAGAGGCTGGAAATTATACAGAGAAAACCAGCTACATTCTGCATAAAAATACATCAACCTAAAGGTCTAATAAGCAGAAAATTCTTCTGAAAATCCTCTAGAAGAGAGCTGTTTGCGTTGAAACTCACAACTAAAAAC